CTCTTCGAAGATTAACCCTGAAGACTTATTGGACCTTTTAATAAAATACTTTAGGAGATCCCCACAGCTGAAAGGAGGGAATCAAAATCAAAATATTTCACGTTTCAACTGGACCTGAAATATTATCTGAAAATCTCTGCAAAACCTGAACAAAAAATGAAGGAAAGGGGGGTGATGTCGTTAGGTATGTGCTGTGTCCTAAACTAGAATCCAACCTGCAAGTGATCTATTTTTGGTGCCTTTCTTGCAAGAGCTGTTAATGCCAGAGAAAAAGTGCAAAGCAACTTCAACTATAAAGAGTACAAATTCAAGCTCTGTTGGCCGCATTAAGCTTGCACTTGATGCTTGCACACTTGGAATGTGAAGTATCCCTTTGGAGAGAGAGTCACCATTCAGCTGCGCACGCCAAAGAGAGAAAAGGGAATAATTAAGCGTGGAGCTTTAATATTTCTGTTATGAGGGGAGGCACAGCAAGGACGCAAGAAGTCAGATCAGGCAGGCGTTCAATCCAAGAAGGGGTGGCAAACTATGCCGATTTTATGAACTCTGGACTTCTACTCCCAGAATTCCCGAGCCAGGAAGGTTGGATCAGGAATTTGGGGAGTTGAAGTCCACAGGTCGTAAAGTTGCCATATCTGCCCACCTTGATTTAGCAGGTAGGAAATTCGCTTTGTTTCTAACTACAGTACCGCTGGTCCTTGGCTTACAACAATTTGTTTAGTGACCGTTCAAAGTGACAATGTCACGGAAAAAAGGGGGCTTGTGATCATTTTTCACACATACGAATGTTGTCTCCATGGTCACGTGATCCAAATCAAAATGCTTGGCTCGTATTTATGACGGTGGCGGTGTCCCAGGGTCACACGATCACCTTTTGCGAATCTTCTGACAAGCAACATCAATGGGGAAGACAGATTTACTTAACAATCTGCATTACCAACTGAATATCTGCAGGGATTCACTTAACAACCGTGGCAAGAAAATGGGGCAAAATTCACTTAACAAATGTCTCACTTAGCAATGTAAAATTTGGGCTCAACTGTGGTCATAAGTAGAGGACGATCTGTATAAATGCCTGAACCACTGCATCCTAACCGAGGGGAAGCTTCTCTATCGGCTCCTTCTTCAATCAGAGGAAAGACACCTACCTAAACTGGTTCATGGAAAATGCAACCACTTCCAATCTTCGCTGTCTTACGTTATACAAAACTCCAACAATGGAACGTGACGTAGAGGAAATGCATTATACTTAAAGAGATCAAGGTAGATAAGAAAGTACCTTTTGTTTTAAAATAAAATAAAAAAGATAAGAAAGCACTTTAAGTCTTGCATTGTTAGGGAATGATGTTAAGTTTTTAAATCATTTATTCTCTGCTACTGCCTAAAAATACACTTGTTCAGAAAACATTCAATGTCAGGACAGTCCTGAGCAAGGAGCCTTATGGTCTTTCCTCGTAGTTGCAGTTATAGCAGCAACCATATGGTTCAACTCAGGTGCTTGGCAAGAGGCTCATAATTACAATTGTTACAGAATGCCCATGGTCACGGGGTAGTAATAGCAATAGCACTTAAGACTTATACACCACTTCACAATGCTTTATAGCCCCTCTCTAAGCAGTTTACAGAGTCAACCTATCACCCCCAACCATCTGGGTCCTTGTTTTACCTACCTTGGAATGATGGAAGACTAAGTCCACCTTAAACTGATCGGGATTCAACTGCTGGCATTCGGCAGAATGAGCCTGCAATCATTCTAAGCCCTGTGTCGCCATGGCTCTTTATAATCCCCATTTGCAACCTTCACTATCAGCTTCTGACAAGCAAAGTCAATGGGAAAGCCAGCAGGAGGGTGTAAATCGTGATCATGTGACCACAGAACGCTGTGACCACGTGGGATTTGCCTAACTTTTGATCATGGGATGATGCGGGTGCTGCAATGGTTATAAGTCACTTTTTTTCAATGCCACTGTAACTTTGAATGGTCACTAAATGAACTCTTGAAAGTCGAGGTCTACATGAATACTTATTTCTGATTTTAAAAAGAAAGAGGTTAGTTTCCTGAATGAATCCGATCTTTTGGGTAAGAAGTCTAAATATTAAATACTTCGCATCTATGTGACAAAAAGCATCTTATTTACACCAAAGGCTGTAATCACTTTCCTTTGAAAAAAATTTGTTTAGCAAAAATGGCAAGATTCTGTTTGAGGAATGTCCTTGCTGACTTAAAAAAAACCCCAAATTTCCAAAAGAGAAAAGGGATTATTTGAGTTCCACAGAAGCTAGGTAGCCTGTAGAGTTCCCAATTGGTCTCTCATTTACAATATAATTAAAATAAAAATCTAATGGTGCTGCTGCATAATTTTATAATCAAAATCATTCATTCTCCTTCATACTGATGTATCAGGAACCCAAATTATAGTGGGACAGAGAAGAGAGGGAGGGGGAGAGAGAGAGAGAATAGCAACAAACATGAAGGTGAAAAGACTCCGAGTTCAGAAGTGGTGGGTGCTCTAACACTGGAAGCTTTCAAAAAGATACTTGCAACTTGTCTGGAATGGTATAAAGCACAGCTCCAAAAGCCTTCTGGGTTGGCAGCTCGAGGGGGGGGAGGGGCAGGTGCCTTTACGTGCGCATGCGCCTGAGCAAACTGGGCTATGAGTGTACGGAGCCGCAAGCGTGAGAGGCAAATGGGGCAGTGAGCATGCGTGCAACGTTCGCCCTGCAACACTCGCAACAAAGGTAGTACCCTTGCAACGCTCGTGATGTTAGCAGGAGAGGGGATATGCACAGGCGCGCGCACACACGCGCTGGCCAGCCACTCACATGGCCCGGTAGCCAAGACGCCATGGCTCAGTAGTGGGCTGCGGCCCACAGGGTGGGGACCCCAGGTTTAGAGTCTCCTCCTTAAGCAGAGGATTGGATGATAAGACCTCCAAGGTCCGGTCCAACTCTGGCCCCAGTCAAGCAATCGTAGCATGTTTTCCAGAACTCAGATAGGAGCTCCAAAACTTTTCTCAATTCTCACTTTGGGCTATAACCCATCTGGGATTTGCCTTCCAAAATCAGACTGGGAAAGCACCGAGGGGTCGAGACAAGTCCCTGCAGTTCCTTTTGATGGAAAGGGAGGGCTCGGATTTGCTTTGTCCTCAGGTGACGATGCAGTTGATTGCCAACAATTTACAAGTTGCAGCAAATTTGGTGAGCTCTCCTCCTGCTCGCAGACACGTACTTCAAGCGATAGATGATAACAGACCCGCAGAGCAAGAACCAACCGCACCCACAAAGAGGAGGAGGGGGGGGAGATAGCCCACCCGTTTTCCCCTCTTTTAATTCTTGGCGATCTCTATCTGCCACGCTCCGTGCCAGGGCCGTTTCCTTTCAAGGAACCTCACACAGCACTTTGTGAATACTGCACCTGTTCTCGGCTAATCCCTTTTGCCCTCTCTTGTGACGCCTTCGGTTGTAAAGAGCGGCGAGAGATGAGAACAACATGAACCCGGCAGGAGGGAAAAAGCAACAGGGCTTCGTTCCAAAGAATGTCTTTAGGAGCCTTCAGGAGAAGCAGGTGATTGGAGGGTGGTGGGTGTGGCTGGCCTCAGTTATGCGGTGAGAACAAATGGAGCAACAGGATACAGAGATGAGAAGGGTGAGGTTCATGATTTCTGGACAGGTGAAATGTATAGCCGAGAAACACCAATGCATCCCATCAAAAAGGCAAGAAGTATGGTCCTACAGCCATGGAAAAGGCCATGGTTCTTAAAGGAAATTATCTGGAGAGATACGAGTAAGGAGGAGTATCTTTGGATCATATATCCCTTCCCACTCTAGGAATGTGACTATCTTCCTAAACGCTCTCCCTCCTCTAACACATTTAAACCTGAATTGGCCGACCCTAGAACCACAATCCCTCCTAACGTTATTTTCCAGCAATACCATCTTGACATATTTATAGCGTATCTTCGGAGTGTATCTTTGTACACTGGAAAAGAATTCGAAATATTACGAAAGAATCGTTAAAAATTGTATAAGCAGAAACTAATAAAGATAAGCACCGAGGCTCAAACTGAGCAAAACAAGGCCAGGATATATATGCCATAAGGCATTTGAGGCAAGTTTCTTTAGTTCAGTATTGTATTTCTTATAGCCATAAACCAAATGAACTTCTGAGATGTCGACAAACAGGACATGATGGTAACTGCCTATTGTCAATCCTAGTATCTGATATTCACAGTCATGCGGTCTCTGATCCTGCAGTAATATCTATTTATTAATTGTAAAATTGATATGAATAAGCTAAAATAAAATTGATTGGAATAAGTCCCACCTAGAACAAGAAGAGAAGCCAATAATCTTCTTAATAAAGTTAGACAATTGATGGTTTTAGAATTTTACAATCAAGTAAACATTTGGGGTCCTGGTGCTTCTCCAAACTTGCCTGTTTTCTGCAGACATTTCATTACCAACTAGGTAACTTCATCAGTGCTAGTAAGGAGTGCTAGTAAGAAGTGGGAGCAAACCCCACTCCTTACTAGCACTGATGATGTTACCTAGTTCGGGTAATGAAATGTCTGCAAGAAAACAAGCAAGCTTGCAAAGCAACCAAGGACCCCTCATGTCAACCCAAATATACACTTTCATGGGAACTGTAAAAATGTCGCAGCATAAACTGAGTGTGATGATTCTGAATTATTTTAAGTGCTTGTTTTATCTGTTCACTGATTGCTACAATTGAATCACACCCCAATGGCAGATATATTACATAAACACAGAAGGAAACCAGGCTTCCAAAGAACATGGTGGCTGGACACCATCAAAGCTCGTACCAGCCAGAGCATAGAACAACTATGGGAAGCACTGCCAGATCGGAAGTTATGGAGAGACCGGGCCCGCAGAATCGCCAAGAGTCAGAAACAACTGAATGGATAACATCATAATCGTAATTATATAAACAAACAATTCTATTTGTTTGTAAAGGATGTAAAAAAAAAAACGCCACATACCTGCTCTTCCTTTCAATAAGAATAGCCATGTAGGACGCTGGTAAAGCAGCACCAAAACCAGGAGTCCAAAAATAGAATTTTCCCAGTATTCGCCTAAAACAATTAAAGGTAGGATTTGTTACATGCAATGTGACAGGGAAAAAGAGGTCATACTTTCTTAAATAAATAAATATTCGCAGGTGACAATACTTTGGATCAAGGGTTCCTGTGAGCAGAAGGATACTCAGCAGATGCTCCTACTAAAGCAAGAAGGGGGCGTGATTTTCAATTCCTCCTCTGCCTGACCAGTCACTGGTGTCTCCCAAAACTGTCTGCAGAGGATTAGGTTAGGAAACAAGGTGGGAGGCTGTAGTGGGAAAGTACTAAGTACTCTTTCTTCCTCCTCTTTGGTCCATCAGGAGTGCTCTCTGCAACACTTCAAAGAACCTCATACCATTCATAGTTCTAACACCTCCAGGAGGAACCTCAATTTTGCTGTCTTACATTTCAAAGGTTTACCTTAATACAAAGGAACATGTGCAGGGGTCGGCAACCCGCGGCTCTGGAGCCGCATTTGGCTCTTTCGTCCCTCTGCTGAGGCTCTCTGTCGCCGGTTGGCATCACAATTTTGAGAAGAGCTTCCAATTTGGGGGGGGGGGGGGGCATGGCGCAGCAGGAGGAGACTCTATGGCAATGATGGCTAACCTTTTGGGCACCGAGTGTCCAAAGCGTGCACGCATCCCCAAAATGCAATACGCATGCATTCCCCATGCATGTGCCCCACTTCCCCATGCATGTGGGTGCATCCCACACACATACTCATGTGTCCCCCTGCTTGCACCCCATTGCCATGCATGCGCACACGTCCCCCCTGTATGCACCCCACCCTTCAGAGACCCGAAGGCCAGCTGGCCAGCTGGAGGCATGTGCGCACATGTGCGGCAGAGCTGAGCTGGGGCGACAACTCCCATGCCCACAAAGAGGGCTCTGCGTGCCACATCTGGCACGCGTGCCATAGGTTCGCCATCACGGCTCTATGGCAAGGGGCAGGTTTTCCAGTCGGCTGCACAATTGATACGGCTTTCCGCTAGGACAGGTAGAGGAAAAAGGACGCCAAGCTAGGAGGACACTCTATGGTGGGGGAACCGGACTTACGCTCCAGAATTGAACAGGGGACTTCCGGTTAGGACCTTTGTGGCTCTTTGAGTGTTTAAGGTTGCCGAGCCTTGGCTTAGTGATAGGTCTTATTTACCACAGGAAAAAACTCTAAGCTGACCAAACGTTTACATTTGCATTCAACGAAATTACTATTTGTTAAAATGTAGGTACCTACTTCCAGGGTGACATTTCCCAAACAGGGAACCATCAATATAAAGAACTGTACATAAAAATGCAGCCAATATTCTGTAAAAATAAGAAAATTGCTATATTCCTTTTTATAGGGCAGTCAGTAAGTAAGTACAGGTTGTCCTCGACTTACAACAGTCCTTTTAGTGACTGTTCCAAGTTACAACATCACTGAAAAAAGTGACACATGACCATTTTTCACACTTAACGACAATTATAACATCCCCATGGTCATGTGACCAAAATTCAGGTGCTTGGCTACTGGCTCATATTTATGATGGTTGCAGGATCATGTGATCACCTCTTCTCACAACCAAAGTCAATGGGGAAGCCAGATTCACTTAACAACCATGTCACAGACTTAATAACTGCAGAGATTCATGTAATAATTGAGGCAAGAAAGGTCGTAAAATGGGGCAGAATTCACGTAACAAATAGAAATGTTGGGCTCAATTGTGGTTGTAAGCTGAGGACTGCCTGGAGTAAAGACATGGGTGTGATGGAAGATGAAACCAGGTTACTTCACCATCCACTGATTTAGTCCAAAAGATGTATCATGAAATCACCTTAAAATGCAGAAAAACATTATGTAAAGACTTCCATTTGCTGTAAGGAAGGATGTTGATTGCAGAATTTCAGGAAGCAGCTTGTTCAAATAATAATCAAGTTTTCGTTTCCGGAGAATTGCAGCAATCTGAAAGAGACAGGTGCACCAGTTCAAACTATTTGTTTAAATGTTACATGTTTACCCTTTCAAATCCTATTTACAAACAAGAAAAACCCACATCAATAAAAACAGTAAATGACACTGAGATAAAACCTGTCTCAGGATTAACACTGATTCCGTTAATTTGCCCCACTAGGTATGAAATTAGGGGGTGTTTCATACCTGAGACATACTCCCCACACACTTTTAAAATATTGAATTGAATTCTTGAATTGAATTGAATTCTTTATTTTCAATGTACGTATATTCACAGTATACACATAAAACGAAATTCACATAACCAGACCAGACCCAACACGCACGCACACATGACGATCCCCAAACGCACACCCCACCCACCAAAATTCCCCGCCCCCTAAAAACACACAAGCATCCAGACCAAGTAATACTGTCCAACGGCTCACTGATGGTGGTCCTTAAGTTCCTTGTTAAGTGCAATTATAGCTCTGGGATAAAAACTGTTCAGAAAACGGGTGGTCTGAATTTTAATGGTTCTGTATCTTCTGCCAGAAGGCAACAGTTCACAAAGATTGTGAGCAGGATGGGAAGAGTCTCTGAGAATATTGTGCGACTTCCTTAAACAATGAGATGCGAAGATGTCGTCCAGGGCGGGTAGTTGGAGCCCAATGATATTCTGGGCAGTTTTAATGATTCTCTGTAGAGCTTTTTTGTCCACTACAGAGCTGCTCTCATACCATACAAGAATGCCTTATGTCAGGACACTCTCAATGGTGCTGCAGTAGTAGGACAGAAGTAGATGCTGAGATAGATTTATCCTCCTGAGCATTCTCAGGAAGTACAGCCTCTTCTGTGCCTTCTTTACAAGCACGCTAGCATTCATAGTCCATGAGAGGTCCTCCAAGATACGTGCCCAGAAATTTAAAACTACCAACCCTCTCCACCTCCTCGCCATTTACATACAATGGTAAATGTACATCTCTCTTCCTCCTGAAGTCCATGATTAGTTCTTTAGTTCTTTTGGTGTTAAGTATAAGATTATTTTCTTGACACCACAGTGTCAGCCCTTGTACTTCCCTTCTATAAGCAGGCTCATTGTTCTTATTAATAAGCCCCACCACCGTTGTGTCATCCGCAAATTTCATAATTGCGCTGGAGTTATACAATGGGGTGCACTCATGTGTGTACAAAGAATAAAGGAAGGGGCTTAGCACACAACCCTGGGGGGCTCCTGTGCTTAGTATTAGAGTAGAAGAATGGTGAGATCCCATTCTTACTGACTGTGGCCTATCTGTCATATTGCTTCAGCATGAAAGCAAATCCAGTTTTCCAACAGCACTAATTGAGGTCAATGAATCAGAAACATGACTTGGTCAGCCAGTACTAGAATTAACGTTATGGTTACTCATGTGCCTCTATTTCTGTTATTCCCCTACTCTTTTATGTCTCTCCTTGAATTACAAGACCTATTTGTGGGGAAAAATCAAGCTTAAAGAATCCTTCATTTGTCCAAATCGGTCAGGTAATTCCTATGGAAAATTGGGGTTGTACTTGGGAGCCAGTTTGCATTAAAAACAGGCTGGTTCTGATCACTTTTTTAATATACAGATGGTCCTCGACTTATGAAAGTTCATTTAGTGACCGTTCAAAGTTACAACGGCACTGAACAAAGTGACTTATGACTGTTTTCCACAGTTTTGACCACTGCAGCATCCCCATGGGTCACATGATCAAAATTCAGATCCTTGGCAACTGACTCACATTTATGATGGCTGCAGGGTCCTGGGGTCATGTGATCAGCTTCTGCGACCTTACGACAAGCAAAATCAATGGGAAACCCAGTTCCCCTTAACAATCACGTTACTAATTTAACAAATGCAATGATTCACTTAACTACTGTGGGTAAAAAAAGCCGTAAAATGGGGCAAACTCACTTAACACATGTTTCACTCAGCAACATAAAGTTTGGGCTAAATTGTGGTCGAGGACTACCTGCATTTCAAGTTCAAAATAATGTTGTTTAAACCTCAAAACTTCCAAAATCTGTGGAGCATTTTGGCAATCTGAACTTCTTCATACTCCAAGGGACATTTTGTACATAGAATGGCTCAAATTCCAAGCTTCCTGCTTTCCCTTTACATTTTCATACAAAGGAAATTTGTTCCCTACATATTTTAAAACACCGATTGGTCATTTTCCCCCTCCTAAAACATCCTGACATGCATACTAATGCATTACCTTGGTATCTGTGTAAATAACCTGCCTGTATAGAGATAACGGAGGAGGGACCCCTTATTTTTCCTAACATTTCCACCTCTTCTACTTCCTCAAAAGTGTAACTTATGATATCAGCAAGAAAAGTATCATTATCCAGGCTTGTTTGAGGAGATGTAATTTAATGTATTAAATTTATATTCTCCCCAACTTGGTTTACAAATTAAAGCATTTTTTTTAAAAAGAAAACAAAACAAAAGCTATTCTATAAAGGTAGTTACTATGGCCATATTAATCATGCCTGCATTTAGATCAGGGGTGTCAAACTCGCAGCCCACGGGCCGAATGCGACACATGCTGGCCCCGGCCCCGCCCAGATTAACAAAGTCTGGTTATGTCATGTGACGCCCCCATGATGATGCAAGTTGGACACCCCTGGTTTAGATGTTGTTTTACAGTGTGGTACCCATGGCTACTAAACTTTCCTATATTATCTTGGGAGGGAGGGAGTGTAGGAAAGTGTACCAACCTACAGAGGGAGGTAACAAGTTAGGGCCTATTAGTTACAACGACGCGATTTGGAGTGCTGTGAAGTGTTGTTGTTGTTTAGTTGTTTCCAATGATCTAGCACAATGAATAGTATCCCCCAGTAGCGTGGGTTTCCCAATTATCTTGGATGAGTTAAGTTTGAGTGGAAACTTCCGGAAAGAACAAAAAAGCAGCCTTAACGAACTGTGGGGAAATTTGTAATGGTGCGGGAATGCCCGAATGTTGTTTCAACATGTTTAAAAGCTGTTTGCAATATTCTTGGATAGCTTCACTAGGTTCTTTTTACAAGTGCTAATTTTAAGCCAATCAGAGCCTACGAGTAAACATCTCACCAATGGCATTTAAGACACCAAAACAACACTGTTGCAAGATCTCCAGGTTGCAGGGCTTACACTGGCCAGTAACTGAAGTATTAGTTTAGTTATTTAAATTAAATAATAATGTTTTGTTTAATTCTAATTAAAGTTATTTTTTAATAATTAGCAAACTACCTGATCAGAAATACCGTTTCCCTCAAAAATAAGACCTATCCTGAAAATAAGCCCTAGCATGTTTTACACATAGCCCTAATATAAGCCCTACCCCCCAAAATACGCACCACTTAAGAGCCTGCACAGCTGGCTGGCTACCCATTCCATCTGGTTGCTCATGGTACTACGCGCACCGCATCGGCTTACCTCGGGGCCACTGCATAAAATGGGGCAAACCTCACTGAACAAATGTCTCACTGAACAAGAGAAATTTGGGGCTCAATTGTGGTCGTAAATTGAGGACTACCTGTAGTTTGGAGTCCCAAGAGGGGAAGGGCTGCTTCCAAGAGACCACAGATGGGACTCTCTCCCTGGCAGTTCACAAAGTATATCTATAGTTAGGCTGATAGTCCGGCAAGATTCTGTCTGTAGCCAAGCAATAAAGAAACTACTCAGAAGTAACTCCACACATTCTTGTTTTGTAGAGCCTGCCAGAGACTCTGCAAATATTGTAAATATATGCTGATTGCCAAGCCCGCTGATTTTTTTCATGTGACCATAGGGATGCTGCCATGGTCGTAAGTGTGAGGACTGATCCTAAGTCAGCCCCTATCATGTCACCCTTAGCCCTTCTTTTCATTGAACTAGACATATCCAATTTCAGCAACCATTCTTTGTATGTTTTAACCTCCAGTCAGTCCCGCAATCATTCCTGTTGCTCTTCTCTGCACTCTTTCCAGATGCTCAGCCTCTTTCTTATATCATGGGGACCAAAGCTAGATGCAGTATTCCAAGTGTGGTCTTACCAAGGCATTATAAAGTGATACTAACACTTTGCGTGATCTTGATTCTATCCCTCTGTAAAAGCAACCTAGATTTCATTTCTTTCGTTCTCGTTTCTCCAACTACTTACCAACCATGATTTCCAATATCTCTTTTAGCTGTTGTGGACTAACAAGTCCACACCCAATGAAAAGAGGTAAAGTTATTCAACAAGGCTCATTAGATCTGTTCTATAGAAAGAAATGCGACCACTGGGAGGGTTAGAATACTTTTAACATGTCTAGGACAATGCTTCCATTTCTCATTAGTTTCATATAAGCTTTTGCCTCACATAGTTAAACTTTACATTTCTTCCATGGACAAAGGCACTTTGTTTCCTATATGGTCTTTTAAAATGCTGACTGGTTACTTCCCCATCTTAGAATATCCTGACATGCATATTAATTTATCACTTTAAGTTTCTTTGTGCATGACCTGTCCATTCAAAGATAATGAGCTGCAGCTGTCCCATCTCTCGCCAGCGCCATCTCCAACAACAGCGGCAGCAGCGGCGGGAACTGTGGATGTTACGGAGGCGGCTCCCCCACTCGAGAAGCGGCTGAAACGCTTCCACGGTTCCCGCTGCTGATGCTGCTGTTGTTGGAGACGGCGCAGGCGAGAGAGGGACAGCTGCAGCTCGGCCTGGGCGCTTGGAATGCAGGAACGGGCTGCGCACCAGGACTTTTGCAAACTTGCAGAGCCCGAGGCTGGAGCACCAAGGGTAGCGGCAGCAGAGACGCTCGCTCGGCTCTTCTCACGCCCACCCAGCTGCTCGGGATTAAATCAAAACGCAGCGTGCGGCGCTCCCAGGTACCTCAAAATCTTTTTTTTTTTCCTGTTGTTACGGGCACGGGGGAAAAGCGGGAGAGACTCAGACGTTGTTGTTGGAGATGGCGCTGGCGAGAAAGGCGCCAGCACCAGTGGGAACCGTGGAAGCTACGGAGGCCTGAGAAG